AGCAAGCAATTCTGAATATTTTTCCTTTTTTATTAATAAAACATTAATAAGGGTAGAATTGTATTTTTAACCCCTAAAATGGCTATATTTCATTCATTTATAAAACATGGCCATATTTCATTTTTCCCTTAAAAAAAGTGCTATAAAACCGCGCCTCTGTATTTAGTAAATAGGATCCCCTTTAATATAAGTATAGATTATAAATATTTTGGCTTTTCTAAATGCATTAATTTTATAATATATCTAGACATAAATATATATCTAGATGTATAATAAAATCTATATATCTAAAAATATCAAAATATCTTATAATTTAGGATGGAGGGAATATTTGATATGATTCCTCTAATTATTTTTGGTTGTTAGATCATCGTAAAATCCTATGGTGTATACTTTTATTTTCTGATCGATCACATAATTTGTAGGCCTTATATTTGATATGGATACTCAATTTGTTCACGGTCTTTATATCATCGTAAAATCCAACGGTTCATACTCTATGTTTCCTAACACTATGGCTGCTTGAACTTATCAGTATGATTTATTAGTTATGGTTTACTATTTTTTTTCTCAGAACAAATCCCCCTTCCCCCTATATATTAATCCAGAACGCGCTGAGCCTGTGTGGCTGCTTCTGGTGCTTCGGAATCCTATGTGGCAAAATTACATGCTTCGTTATTAGGGCGTCTCCAATGGTTAGCTATTTGGCTAACTATTATGACGTGGACAAGGGAAAAGTAAGAGAGAGAGTAGTCACTAGCTACTAACAAATAGCTTATCTATTTCACGTAGCCCAAGATTATGTGAGATGAGTAAGTGGGTCCAATAGTGTAAAATAGTTATTTTTCTCATCTCTCACATCCACGTCAGCTAACCATATAGCTAGTAATAGCTATTACCATTGGAGATGCCCTTAGGCTTGGATAAATTTTAATTTAATTCCAAACTAAAAATAATTAGGTTCGAATTACCATAAATATGTTGATTATTTATGGTCATGTTACATGTATTATTTATATTTTAATATCATTCTTTATTATAACTATTGAATTGAATATATATTTTCAAAGTTAATAACTTTTGTATTTTTTATCAGTTTTACATATGTAATATATCAAATTAATCTTCTTTTGATGAGCTTCGATTTAACATCCATATTGTATGTATAACAAAAATAATTTATCTTTATCTTTATAACAATAATAAAATTATTTTTAATATTAACTAGAAAAATAAAATTATTTATCAACTAATATTATATTTCAAGTAGTTAATGATATAAATTATAAAAACTAATATAATATAACACATGTAAGTCATAAATAACACATATCATTTTAAAATATATAGTAATATTTTTATTTTATTTTTTGTAAAAAAGTAAACTAAATTTAATATAGTTTTCTCATTAATTTTAAAATTTAAGAATAGTTTTTTAACAAGCACCCGTGTAATACACGGGTGTTGTACTAGTCAGTATTAATGATTTATCAGCTTTAGCGAACGGACTCTATTTATTATTAGTTTTTCTGATCAAATTTCTTCCATATTTGTCTGAGTAATCTTGTAATTTCTAGACACTTTCGATGGATGTGTTCTTTTTGATACTGTTATATTAATGTAATAGATTTTGAAGATGTTGTAGAGGAAATGAGACCGTGGAGGTAACCTTCACTTGTTTGAAACTGAGGTTCTGCTCGGTTTGTACTCTTATTATTATCGTGCAACAGATGTTTCTATAACCAACATAACCCTAGGTTGTTTAGCGTATAAAAGTGTATGGTAGCGTTTAATTGAGATGCAAGATAAGATGGAATGAGCCCAATCCAATTTTAAGGTATGGGAACGATGATTCCCTCTTTTGTGCTCGGTAAAGAGACACGAGGATAGTATGAATGGTAAATTTTATCCTCTTTGTCACCGTTAGCTAGGGCCCACTTGCTAGTCTCCTCTTTCTTTTCCCATGCAAGCCCATAGATCTGGGCGTGCCCTCTAAAACCTTACTCCCTTCGTCCATCAATAGACAGACATCTAGGTTTCGGCACGAAAACCAAAAATAATATGAAACTACGAAATTGTCCCTACGAAATATCTACTATAATAGCATCTTTGCCGCTGTCTGATGGTAACGAGTGGATAGGAAGGATGCACGCACGCAACACTCCCGCGTTTTCCTTTTTCAGTCGATTTTTTTAGTCTCTCTATCAGGTTACAGGTACCAGTCTGCTACACTACATATCCATCGTGACCTTTTATTTTAGAAAATTTTTTAATCGCAAATGTACACAATTATTAGTGGGCGGAGGGAGTAAACTCTAAACCCTTAAACCGAGCACGGGCGCACGGCCCTCGCTGCTCGCGCCCCACCCAGCTTGGAGATCATTGCCCACCCTGTTGATCCCACTCCTCATATCTCCCTACCAAACAACTAAAACTGGACTAGTTTCACCCACATCTCACCTCGTCCCTTGACCAAATGCCACCTAACTTTTCAGTTGCATGCTTGAGCAAGTCTCACACTCTAACAGGATTTGGACAGCTTGAGAGCTGACGCTTGCGCCTCCGCGGTAGTATGTATGAAGATATAAATAAACACTAAAACAAATCAAAATATAAGAAAAAAAAAACCCGATCGAGTCTCATGAGGCCAGTCCCAATGGTTAGTTTCGCTATACTATTTCCAAAATGGTCACATCATCTAGAGCGAGATGAAACGATAAATGAAACAACCTTCACAATGCTGCACCGTTTCATTACACAAATTCCAAAGCTAAGTGAAGCATTTAATTGCTGCAAGATCTTGGGATCATATGCACCATATGCATTGTGTAGCCATTTCCACGCATTCACTATGCTCAGCTTAAAAATAGACACACAAAATTGAGACTTGAGTTTAGCACTCAACGGCTGAAATTGATAGTGCTGGATTTAGGACACACACAATTCACAAACTGTAGTAGAAATTGCATATCACATAGTTCAGATTTCTATCGGTAAAAATCAATTGCAAGCATCCAAATAAATCCAGAGATACAACAAAAACACTTGCATGTATCAAATTTCTATCTATAAAAAACACTTGCAGGGATCAAACCAATAAAAACACTTACATGTATAAAATTTCTATATGTAAGAAAAAAAAAAAAAAAAA